AAAACTTATGGAATGGGACTGACAGGGGAAAAGATGAAGATTTATCCATAGTGTGATGATATCTGTAGAGGAATGCAATGAAAATAAATCTTGGACTATAATCTCAAATATGTAAGAAATAACATATAAATTTATGTTTATAAAATCAACCTCGCATCAACTTTGAGAATGTTATCTCCACCCCCCACCAAGTTGGTAAAAAAACTTAACCACTGTTGTTCCAGGGTTCCCCTCTTCTGCCTCAAGATGGTTTTGGATTCAAGCACAAGGCAAGGGCTCCTGGCTTTCGAGTCAATTGTCTACTCTAGTTACTTCTGGGTGTTCACTGACTCTGTTCACACAGTTCCTTCAGGTATGGGCTTCCTGCTGCTTCCAGATTTCTTTTTAAAACAAGGGAAATCTTTATGAGGGGTACTTATGGCTCCGTCTATTTAGATACACGAGGCAGTCCTTAATCTCTGGAGTTTTGCTGCTTCTGCTGTGTGCTATAGTGTTTCCAGATAGATAGGAGGTTGGCTCCCAAATAGACTTTAATCTATGCTCCCCATCTAAGGACTCTATCTTCCCCAAATTGCTTTCCAAAGGCATTTTGATGCTTCCCTTCCTTTCAAGGCACTCAGCAGAACCCTGTGAAGTGGATTCGGACTTTATGCAAGTCAGGAAGTGTATATGGCTTTTCTCTCCCCATCTTTCCTTTCCAATTACAAAGTTTGGCTGTCTTTCTGACAATATGGAGAACAGAAAAATAAGATAAATGAACATAATTTAATATTACATAAGCTTATTCTGCTAGTAGGAATTAAACAAATTTGGGCCAAAAGAGAGCAGGGAATGTGGTTCTGTTCATGTCATTCTTCTTAACATACTATAGTGGTTTCCTATTGCTTTTGGGATGAAGATCAACTCCCTGACATAGCCCAACAGGACCCTCTCCAGCCTCTTCATGCACCACAGTCATTCTCATTTCTCTCTAATAAAACCATACTGGAATTTGTAACCTTTCTTTATAGTACTTGTCCATGATAGTCACTTCCTTTCACAAAATGAGAAAACCAAGGGATAACTATAATGAATGCCATTTTGCCTGTCAGATTAGCAAAACCCCAGAAGTTTGATAATATACTATATTGAACAAGGACCATACTTCTGTACTGCTAGTGGAATTATAAAATTAGTATAACTTCTGTGTAGGGTAAGTTGGCAATATCTATCTAAATTATGTATACACACACACACACACACACACATATATTTGACCTGGACAAATTCTGGAAATTGATGCTACAAATATATTTGCATGGTAAAAAAAAAGATGACACATTTATAACTTTATTTACTGTAGCATATATTTTGCAATAGAAAATGACTGGAAAAATTTAACTGTTTGTCAATAGAAGGCTAGACAAATACACTGTGATATACCCATTAATGGAGTACTATGCAGTTGTAAAACAAAATGAGAAAATTTCCTAAATACTGATGGGAAGACTTTCTATTTTTATTAAGTAAAAAATGCAACATGCAGAACTCTGTCTATGGTATGCTACTTTTGTATAAAAGGGGGAGAAGTAATATATATATGTTACTATATTTATTATTGTATATATTTATCTATATATATATATATCCCACACATATGTATTCAATTTGCCTGTATATGTATAGAAAACTCTGGAATGATATGCAAGAAACAAATAACAATGATTATCTATACTTTTTGGGAAAGAATGGGAGCTAAGAGAATGGGGAACAGGATAGGATGTAAGAATGTAAAATAGTGAAAATTAATGATTGATGTTTCCTTCTATTGATTACATTACACATATTATTAATGTGGTGTGGGTTTAAAATTATTGAAGTGCAAAATTCATTAAACAAAAGCTATTTTCTATCATTTACCTCTTTGTGAAATAGGGATATAATAGAGATTGTTTAAGCAAAACAGGATGATGGTTAATGATTAATTTAACAACTGCTGATGTTTTCATATTAGTCGAAATAGATCCTCTATATTCTTTTTACAAATTCTATCCCCAAATCAAACTAGGCAAGTATCAGGCATTGTTTCTTAAAATATTTAAATACAGTTCCCTTGTTGAGATTAAGCCACTCATTAGTATAACCGAGATTGTATTTTCAAATCACAGAGTACAATAGCATCTAATGAACGTAAAGTGAATAGATCACAAGTATGTACTTTGTTTCCAATTTTACACTGAACCCTATATAACAGATTTTAAGGAGGCACTAGCACTCTTTATCAACAAACTGTCCATTTCTTTTATTTAAGTCTTGAGCATTTAATTAGCAAATTTTGACTTCTAATCTGTTGATTTCTTAGTTTAAAATCTATAGAGTCAGTGTGGAACAGACGAATTTAGTAGCTCTTGAATATCCTTACATGTGAATTGACTGTTAACAATTTTCACTTTAGAAGGAATATCCAAGTTCCAGGGGTTCTGATACTGTTCTTTATTGTTTTCTATGGAGGGATGGTTCAGAACACAGTTGCATCTTACTTTCTTTCCTTCTCTTCTTCCTCCATTTGGAGAAATACATTATAGAATTTTTATCTAGCTTTTCAACAGTTGCAATTAGAGAACGGTCCATGCTCCTCTGCTCTAATAAACTTACAAATTTCAATATCTAATGATTAAAGAGTAACCTGGTACATTTAACCTATTCCATGCTCTTGATTCTGTTCCCAAAAAGCAAAGAAATCACATACACTATAATCTGATTGAAAGGACTGAAATTTCCTTTTCCTATTTGGTCTACATGCACCACCTGGTGGTAAAGGAGTGCATTTCAAGTGGTGTGTGTGTGTGTGTGTGTGTGTGTGTGTGTGTGTGTGTGTGTTGGCAGTATAAACATGGGAAAGAGAATTTCAAACTTCAATATACATTCCTAAATACTGATTTAGATTAACAATGCAATTATTTTGCAGCAAATAACTAATAAAATACTAGACCACTACTATATATATGTATATATATACCCAAACAGGAAATAAAGGGGAGAACAACTATTGTTGGAAAGTAAAAATAGCTTTCTCTTACTTACATTAACTATAGCTTTGATAATTCCATCCCTAGAGTAACATTTATTTATCGTGCTAATGTTCTTACTGAGGCAAGAGTGAAACCTTGATAACCAGTGTAAAACCATTTCCTTTATTTTTAATTTTTAAGAATTATAATTTTTGAAAGTATGCATATTCTTCCTTTTATTGGTAGTTAGTGTAAGTCCAGGTCACAGAATTTTAAAACTACAAGGCACCACAGACTAATGCACTAATTTTACAAATATAGTAGCTGAGAAATGCCAAGTGACTTGCCCAAGGTCATACTGGTAATTAGAAGCTCAGTTCAAATAAGAAACTAGATATTCTAACTTTCAGTCTAGGAATATAAAACATGAAAAATATACTCATATACAATGATAAAATACCTCTGCATGAAACAATACATCCTTGACTCAGCAACAGTGCTTTAGAGCACTAAGATGTGAGTTAATTAACACATATTAGTATTATTCTAAAATTTTGAGTACAAAGAAGTAATAGGAGAAATGCATGTTATCATAAAGCTATGGAAAAGACTTTCTAACGGGCAAAAATTCCTTTTATATATATGTTCAGAAGAATATTTTTCAACTTATATACAACTGCTATGTTGTAAAGATGGTGTAAAAAATTCCTTTTCCCTTTTTAACTGCTTCTGAATCAGAGATCTGTTTCTACAGCGTAGGTACCCACTGGTAGATTCAGGCATAAACTATGTTCATAGCTCCCTCTCATGACCATTGAATGAATACTATATAAGCCTCTTTTATTCTCGCTGTTGTATTCCACTAACAGCTCACTGGTTAAGTTTTAATTGCTTCCAATGAGGTCAGCAAAGGTATTTATCGAAAAGCCCTGAATAAAAAGGCTCCACACACACACACACAAGCATACACGCTCTCACACAGAGAGAAAAGCCTCTTGCCTGTTGATTTATGGAAACAATTATGATTCTGCTGGAGAATTTCTCAGCTGAGAAATAGTTTGTAGCTACAGTAGAGAGGCTCAAATTGCACAAGGCAGACAACAGACATGGAATTCTTGTGTATCCAGCTGTTATCAACAGAACAAGTAAGTTATTGTTATTTGTCTTTAAAAATAATGCTGAGTGGTTTTCTAGTAGTTTACCTCTTTCTCTGGTTTGAGTGTTGAGGGGAAAGTAAAGTTACCAGATTTTTGACTCTTGTAATTATCTATAGTAATTATGCTGTAGAGCTTTACATAATGTTAAAGTTGAAGTTCTCCAGACAATACTGGCATTTAACTTGAGAGATGCGAGTAGTTGAAGAGAAAATAATTGATTAACCACGAACATAAAAGCATACAGTAAACAAATCTAGGAGAAGCATTTATACTTTGTTAGTAGTAATTTTAGGACTTAATTTAAATCAGTAGTTCTAATTGCAGGATGTTTCTGACCAAACAGCAATCAAAAAAAATGGTACAATGATATTCTGATTTGTCTCTTGTAATGCAGAACTTTTCTAAATCTATGTATAGAGCAATAAAGATGTTGACGTCCTCTGTGAAAGTTGTTTAAAATGTGCCTTCACAGTAACAACTACACTGCATGTTATAATACTGTTTACCCACTAATATTTATACATACAATTTTTCATCTTCCCCCACCTTCCCTCCCTATTCCTCATGTCTCACCACAAAAAGAAGTCCAGTAGTAAACAGTGTCGCAGCAACTGAACTTAGTGCAACCTGTTTTTATAAGGAAATACCAACAGAAAGTTATTTAAGGAGGAATCCTGTACTGTTATCAGGAACTAAAAGGATAAGGATAACAATTTGGAAAAAAAACAACTACTCTTTCTTAAACCAATCTACAATTCACAGATAGGAAGAGGTCAATGACCTAGGAGCAACAATCAACTCAAGATTTAATTTTCATTATGTTATTCATGAACACCCGGAGCACTACACTATAATGCGCAAATGGATACTGACATGGATCCTGCCAACTTTGCTCTACAGATCATACTTTCACATTATCTGTCTAGTGGGCACTATATCTTTAGCTTGCAATGACATGACTCCAGAGCAAATGGCTACAAATGTGAACTGTTCCAGCCCTGAGCGACATACAAGAAGTTATGATTACATGGAAGGAGGGGATATAAGAGTGAGAAGACTCTTCTGTCGAACACAGTGGTATCTGAGGATTGATAAACGAGGCAAAGTCAAAGGGACCCAAGAGATGAAGAACAACTACAGTAAGTAATGTCTATTATTTACAGCACTGCTTATAAAGCCTTAATCTGTGAAAGAGCCATTTTTCAAGTGACATGTTTCTTAGTTTTCTTTTTCTGTTCTTCTGAAAAAAACTTATCATCTTCTAATTTCTCTAAACTGGGATCGTTGGACTATGTTTCCAATAACGTTTCCTGGGAACAGGTCAAATCTATTAATATTGTAGTTGGAGTTGATAACCCAAGTCAATTTGAAAATATAATCCCCATGTCCTAAGGTCTAAATGCTAATAAGTTAAGCAAAATGTAAATAATATTATTCACACTGAGATGGGAATCACTGGCTTCAAGCAAAACTCATTAGGAAGTAAACGCTCACTAAAACCTTATTAGTGTGAGGAACAGAAAATTTATTTAAAAAAGCAATATGATTTTCTTTGAAAGAATATTTCTGTGGTGTGAAATACGTAATCTGTGCTCAAAAATGCACTCAGGGACTTGTGCTATTATGTACAGTTATAAAATAGAAGGGAATCTGTCCATCTGTTCATGTCATAATGAGTTTGTATTAAGTTGTTTATTTGCCTAAGCAAGAAAATAGTTTCCTCCTAACATTTTCTTTAAATCTTCCATGCCATAATTTCATGTTACCTTAAGAGAAATGCAAATGTGAAGGAAGAAATAAAAGTGGGTTGGAAGAGATGTCAAGTCAATGATATTCTGTTAGTGTATCTTACCTTTTCTCCAAGAATTAGTTATTTTTGTCCTATTGAAATATCAGGGTTGGGTTTATCATTTAGCAGTTATGATGAATAAACAATTTCAATAGTATTAAACTTAATAAGGTAGAATACTGAACGTAAATAGTAAGAATTTAAAGTCCCTGAATGAAAAGAAATTGTTTGTACTACTAGCACTTGTACAATGTTATTATTATATCATCTTATAATATTATGTATATTAAAGTCAATTGAAAAAGAATGCCGGGGGAAGATGGTGTAAACATCTGCTTAAGCACTTGCATTTTGCTTAAGGCTTGCAGTGAGTACTTGAAACATTTATTGCTTGTTTAATGAATGGTTTTTAAGGATTTTTTAAAAAGTTTATTTATTTTAAAGTGAGAGCAAGAGAGAACAGGGGAGGGGCAGAGAGGGAGGGAGAGAGAGAATCCAAGCAGGCTCCTCACTACCAGCACAGATCCTCATGCAGGGCTCGAACCCAGGAACCGTGAGATCATGACCTGAGCTGAAATCAAGAGTTGGATGCTTAACCAAGTGAGCCACCCAGGTGCCCCAGTTTTTAGACTTCTTAACTAATGAGCCAATAAGTGGGAAATGGGAGAATTATGTTTCCAATATGAAAATGAGAAGATCTTCTTTCAAACTCTAACTTATAGAGAATACTAAGGCCTTTTTAGCAGATTATTGTTATAGTTTATTACTGTTATTAATAAAATTATGTTAGTCTTGGAATGTTATTCTGATTATACTACAGTTCAGCTAAAGAAATAACTATTTAGAGGAGAGTTCTATGGATAGCCACTTCTATGTGAGCCACAGAATTTGAATTATAATCAACTTATTTGAAAGTTATTGAGACTTATCATGAATAATGGGACCTGGTAGAGAGGACATGAGGACAGAGCCCAGGTGGAAGTTATGACGCAGAGGTCTATTCCCTGTCTGTGAGTAATTCTGGAACAATTTTTAATGCTTTCCATTTTTCAGGTTTTTCATCTCTAAGATATGGAATATATACAGATGATCTCCAATACAGCCTCTAGTTCTTACAGTTTATTCTATTCTAAACCATAACATAAATATATAATGGAAATGTGAACAGATGTAAGTGCTTATTATGTGATTATCATATACTTTGAGTGAGATAAGTGAATATTATCTCAATGATAAGATGAGCTGTCAGAACTAACTTGAAATTGCAGCAAATTCTGTTGCTCACATAGAAGTGTTTCAAACCTAAACACTGTGTAGAATTCTTCTACATGCCCCCTAATGCCTTTCGAATGCTTTTGTCAAAAAATGGAAAATGTGAAAAATTAGATATAAAATCCAGTGACAGTGAATAGCATACATAATTATTTGGGATGAAAAATATCTACAATTGGGATGCATTCATATATGTGTTTTATTTTGTGTTAAAGTTTCTTAAAACCATGAAACTCAGGCATTTGTAGGCATACACAAAATGCCAAAGTTATTTTATACTTGAAACACAATTTAGCATTAACCTAGAGTAACCATAAGGCCAATTTGGCACGCCATTCCTCCTCTACTCTAATTCTACAGTGAAAATGAAAAAGAGAGAGAGAGAAATTCTTTCTATACTATAAATTAGAATGTCGCAATACCAATGTTCTTAAAGACATGATATATATTATATAGTCTTCACTTCTATAAGCTTTTCCTAGGCTGTATATGTAAATATACTTTCTTGATACGGTGAATTCTTCTGGAAAGGGAAACTTTCAGTGGGATCCCTTAAGTAAACCCTAAACCTGTTGTCAGGTTGTGTTGCTATCCTCCTGAAGAAGGAGTCAGCCAGCCTTCACCATAGTTAAAAAGCAGCTAATTCACAATTGTCAACAGGAAATCCTAAGATACAAAAGAAATTACTTCATTGAAAACTATATGGAGAATAACTTATTAGAAGAGAATTCTGATAGTCATTTCCTGTTATCTAAGGGGTAGCCTTACTAATTTTAAGTGTGGATGTCCCCTACATAAAAAGCGCAAATTGACACATATGAAGTTGAAGCTACTGTATCCAGGTACAAAGGAAGTGCTCAATAAAATTTGTTTAAGAAATCAAAGAAAAACAAAAATCTTGAAATTATAAATATGACTACTATTAACATTCCTCAATCATTAACTGAATGAATGAACAAATGAACAAGAGATGTTTCCTTCCGATTTAAAATGAGAGTAAAATGTGATCGGATTGCCTACTGCAATAAAATGCAGCAGAGTTCAGAAAGTGTGGTAGATCAGAATGACACTCTCAATTTCATTTTTAGTGTTCCGATCCTGTAAATTTGTTAAGTGGTTGTTAAACACCCTTCTGTGGAGGTCTTTTTTTTTTTTTTTAATATTTTTATTTTATTTCTAGGATAGAGAGAGACAGCGTGAACAGGGGAGGGTCAGAGAGAGAGGGAGACACAGACTCTGAAACAGGCTCCAGGCTCTGAGCTGGCAGTCAGCACAGAGCCCGATGCGGGGCTCGAACTCACGAACTGCAGATCATGACCTAAGCGAAAGTCGGACGCTTAACCGACTAAGCCACCCAGGCCCCCCTGTGGAGGTCTTTTAACATGGTATAGATTTAAATGTCTTAGATGATAAAATTTTGCAAGGAAAGTTAGATGTCAGCTGTGTGAAACATAATTGTTCTCTGAGTTACTATGGGGTTCCCACTCTTTTCACATGGCTTTGCTTTGGATGAAGGGGAAGTTTACCTGATTATATTAATAGGTTTTGAAGGAATGCATACTTCACTAGCAGAAGGATAACTCCTTCATAAAAATATGATATTGCCAAGAAAATGGACTGGGGTGAGTAGAAGAGGTGGTTAAAAAAAAAAAAAAGCCTGGGTATATAATTCTGTTTCTAGAAGACTGGGCTGGGTAGGTAGATGGAAGACCTACAGGAAGAGAAGGGGAATGGAAGGGAGGTAGATATAATAGCTCATGTCTCATTTTTTAGGAAATTTTAAAAATTACTGAAGCTATCCTGGATTGTGATGATCTCACTTCAGTCTTAATTATAGTGTTGTCTTCTGAAGTATTTTAAATTTAGCTTAGAAGGACTAAACTGCAGAAAACACACACCAAGGAACCCAATAAAAATCAGACTTGTATTAGTAGACAGATAAGTAAGACACAACTATATAAATGTAGGAATTTATGAGGGGCCAGGAGATGTCGGACCGTATTTCTGACACTGAGGGGAGAGAAGTTGTCCCTGGAGAACTGGTCCTCAGATTGCATACTATTTCCACCCAAGAGTCAAGGAAAGTCCATCCTCTCTGGTGGTTCCACATTTAGCCCTGCAGTATGTTTCTAAGCAATGAAACTGGAACCTAACCTGAACTAATAATAAGGGTAATAAAAGCATAAAATGCCCTTCTAAAATGAAATAACTATTCATGTTCTCTACAGAAGGAGAGCAGTAATACCATCTTAAAGGGATTGGTAATGGATGATCAACACTTGTACTGCTGTCGTCAGTGCTATCCTCTTGGGGACAAGGCGAGAGGGTGAATTTAGATAATTTTTGGACCAGGCACTCCCATCCACAGACAGAGTCAATCAGTCCACACCTGACAGAAATAACACTGCTTTTTAAGCTGGGACTTGAGGTGCCAAGTGAGAGATGGCAGCAGTGTACCGGGCAACTGTCAGCCGCCCTGAGAGGCAGATGCGGAACAAAGAACTCAGTCCCTCCAGATGATTTTCTTGCTTTTGGTATGCAGTTCCTCTTCCCAACAATGGTCAATATCATCAATTCCTTTTACGAAGAATTCCTTAATTGTGCTAAGCTACTGATTCAAGAAAAAGTATGCCTCACTTAGAATTATGCATTGTAAGTTCCATAGCAAGCAAAGGGTTAGCCATTCTGAAAGCTAGCCAATGATTTGGCAATATTCTCTTTTGGATTGTTAGACTGTGACGGGATGTGGCCTAACAATTGGCAAAAAGCAAATAAACACAGTGTTGTGGGATTTGACTTTGGCTACAGAATCTTCAGCAACCCAGTTGTCAACAATTCTTTGGATAAGATCCTACTCAGCACAAATCTCTGCTAGTAGCTAGCAAATATATACACCGCCACTAAATATGGTGACGGTAAACTTGGTTATCCTCCAAATAGTTCTTAGCCATTTATCCAAAAGAGCAATAATTCACATTATCAAAACAAAAGAAGAGAGTCAGGGCAACCCACCTTTAAAAAATAGACAATGAGGAACATAATTATGGATTTGAGCCAAAATCTGAGAATTTCTGACAA